AAGTAGATTTCAAACCAACACTGATTAAGAGAGACAAAGAAGGACACTACATCTTTGTAAAAGGAACAATCCAAGAGGAAGAGGTGACAATCATTAATATATATACACCAAACACTACTGCACCCAACTATATAAAACAAATACTAATGGACATGAAAAATCATATAAACACTAATACAATAGTAGTGGGGGGCCTCAATACCCCACTGTCACAAATAGATCAAATAGACAAAAAATAAGTAATGAACTACTAGAACTCAATCGATCTCATGAACAAATGAACTGAACTGATGTTTACAGAGTGTTCCACCCCACAAAACCAGAGTACACATTCTTCTCAGCTGCACCCAGGTCATTCTCCAAAATAGACCACATATTCGCTCATAGAACATGTTTAAGTGAGTGCAAAGGAATTGAAGTTATCCCCTGTATATTATCAGACCATGGTATGATGAAATTGGAGATCAATAGCAAAAGAAACTGCAAGAATTTCCTAAACACATGGAAATTGAACAACACACTTTGGAATAACCAATGGGTCACAGCAAAATTAAAGAAGAAATCAGACAGTTCCTTCAATTAAATGAAAATGACAATAAAACATATCGAAATCTATGGGCCACAATGAAAGCAGTCTTAGGAGGAAAATTCATAGCAGTGAATACTCATACTAGGAAAACAGAGGGAGCCCAATTAAACAAGCTGATGCTGAACCTCAAGCTCCTAGAAGAACAAGAGCAAGAGAAAGCCAAAGCTCATACAAGGGAGGAAATTGTAACTATCAGAGCAGAAATCAATTCAATGGAGACTAAGAGAACAATACAAAAAAATCAATGAAGCCAAGAGTTGGTTCTTTGAAAGAATAAACAAAATTGACAAGCCCTTAGCCAGTCTTATCAGAAAAGGCCCAAATCCATGCAATTAGGAATGAAAAGGATGAAATTACAATGAACCCAGCAGAAATCCAGAGGATCATCAATACCTACTTCCAGAACCTATATGCCAATAAGATGGACAACACAGAAGAAATGGACAGATACGTAGATATGTATGAATTACCAAAGTTGAATGTAGAAGACCTAAAACATTCTAAACAACCCAATATCAATCAATGAAATTGAAAACGTAATTAAAAATTTTTTTTTTTGTTTTTTTGGTACTGGAACCAATGAGCTAAATCCCCGGCCCAAAAACTTACCAACTAAGAAAAGCCCGGGTCCTGATGGTTTCACTGTCGAATTCTACAAGACTATTAGAGTGGAACTACTGCCACTACTGCTTACACTCTTCAGTGAAATTGAAAGAGAAGCAATATTCCCGAATTCATTCCTGGAAGCAAGCATAACCTTGATGCCCAAACCAGAGAAAGACCCAACTGAAAAAGAGAATTATAGGCCAAACTCACTAATGAACATAGATGCAAAAATCCTTAATAAGATACTGACAAATAGAATGCAGAAGATCATCAAGATC